CATTTAGAATTATTGAAATATTGTGGTTTTTAAATCTACATATATCTGATGAAATTTTTTTTAATATCTATGTCATTTGGAAATTTAAGAGTGAAGATGCAAGGCACTCCTTTTAAGTAGTTAAATAAAATGTTATTTTTTATTTTGTAATCAGTTAAAAAATTGAAATAAAAAATATAGCATTTAAATATTCATATCTCTGTTTTACTTATGAGATTCAATCACCTATCATTTCTTAAATAATCTATTTTTATGCTTGTTTGTTTAACTCAACATGCCCAAACATAAGAGGGCTACACGATATATTAAAAAACAAACTGAGAGGTGCCATCCTGACCGAGAAGATAGTTATGATGACATCACAGGGACGAAGCACACAGAATTAAGGAATTATCTGTACAATTATTTATAGAATCATCTAAAGAATATTACTTTTAATAATAGTTTATTACTTTAACTGCCTGTTTTAAAATTATGCTTCTTGATAAATTTCAAAATTAAGAGTGGGCAATCAAACTTCCTTTTCTTTTTCTTTTTTTCAATGAATTTATAATTTTTATAACTAACTTGGCATTCTTTTGAGTTCTTCACCTGAAGCAAATGCTTGACTGAACTTTGTTCCATTCTCTAATTATAAAATTAATCAATGATTTATCTAAAACTAAAATATTTGCTTTGAATAAATCTCTAATTAACCTCACAACTTTAATATGGAAATTCTGATTGCAGGATCTAGCATGTTTCACTGTGATGACATCGTAATTAGATCTACTTAAGTGTTGTACCTTGCAAATTCTAGCACATGCGTGAAGACGAACACAGCCAGACGAAGCTGTAAAAGACCCTTTTATTTATAACAAACTAATTATCAGATGGCACAGACTTACGTGCTTACAGGCATGAAGGTAAACAGAACCAGACAAAGCTGTGAAAGACTCTTTTATTTATAACAAACTAATTACCAGATTGCACAGACTTACGTGCTTTCAGGCATGAAGATAAACACAACCAGACAAAGCTGTAAAAGATCCTTTTATTTATAACAAACTAATTACCAAATGGCAGAGACTTACGTGCTTACAGGCATGAAGATAAACACAACCAGACAAAGCTGTGAAAGACCCTTTTATTTATAACAAACTAATTACCAGATGTCATGGATTTACGTGCTTAGAACAAAATCTCCGACCTCTTGCAATGAGAGCCTAAAACGATAATGTAATACTAGATAAAAAGGTACAGAGAAATCCGTCAAAAGTGCGCTCACAAAAGCGAAATCACGTTCTGTCTAACCTTTTCGCTCCAACAGTTTAAATACTCTTGTTCAGTCTACTTAATTTACATCCTGGCGAGGAAACACGAGGAGAAATAAGATAATTCAGGAAAGGCTCACAAAATAAAATAGTTGTATTAGTAAAAATAAGCAGAACCCTACATGATAAAACAAATTCCGTGCAGAAATTAATAAACATCTTTCTACATTGCGTTCGAAGAACATCTAACAATTTTTTTCTATGATCTTTTTTTAATATAATTACTTTACAAATTCAGTGAAATCCTGCTGATAATATTTATTACACCTGCACAGAAATCTTCAATAAATGCATTATAAACAGATTTTTTCCAATAAGTTTCAGTTTTCCTTTCTCCTATATTTTAGTGTTCTTAAAGATAAATATGTTTATTATTAGGAAACGTGTTATTTAGAGAAGGCGAAATGCACTTATTTATTGTTTCTTGTTTTCTTTTTCTTTTATCTCTTTTCTTTTTTCCTTTGCTTTTTTTTTCAGAGCAAATGAGTCATGTAAATCAATATATTCCCACGGACTTGACTTGAGTGACTAGAATTTTTATTCCTTTCGTTATCTCTGTACTACACTGAACTACCAGGAGGACAGGTGACCCGAAGATAAGCTGTCAACATATTAGACAACTGGTACAAAAATCTATTACCTGCAAACTCAAGCAAAAGTCTGGGATGAGAGATAAGCAGCAAATGTTTATATGAAAACATGGTTACTAATATAAAATATCCTTATACAACAGCAATATACGTAAAACTACCCGTTGCAGGAAACAAAATGTATTCTTATGTTCAGTTATAGATTAGTTGTTTAAAAATATCATGCTACGCTTCAAAAATGACAAAATTTTACATTAACTTGATATAAAGTTAATTCGAAGTTGCATTATGCATAAATATTTTGCAGGTTGTAATTCTCGTTGCAATAGATTTAATTTTGCCGTAGTTCTATTTTAAAAGTTTCTAAGCAACATTTTATTTAAAACAATGGCCGCCAATTTCTGCGCTCTGGAGGGTCAATTCAATTAGAACTGAGGGAAGCATAATATGTTTGGCACAATAGGGAAAACACAATATGTTTGCAGCAACATTTTGGATGCCATATATGTATGCATAATATATGGCAACCGTATGAGACAAATATCCTCTGGAATAATAAACACCCATTATTTCAAGCCTCTTCTCATAATAATTTCAAATAACCGTATTTTTAATTCTGATTTCTGATGTTTCTAATAATTTCATTTAATCTTCTGATAGTAATTTCCAGAAACCGTATAAATAACATTACGTTTTAGGAAGATGGTAAAATCAAAAATATAAATATATATGTATATATATATTCCAAAGAATTCTTTCACTAAGCCATAGATTTTGTTACTTTAGCCATGAGACGCAGAGGCTGAGAAAACTCATGGACTCTACAGTCTGTGTACGAACAATTGGTCGCCATTGTTGCATAGCATAACACCATAACTAAGTTAATTAAATTCACAAGATTGCTTGGGAATCTAGCATTTCATAAGGAAATGTGAGAAACTAGTAAAACGTTAAAGCTGGAATATAACTTCAAGCAGAACTAGCGAGAGTAACTAACAGAAAGCCGTGGTTGCCAGAATATTTAATGTAAACTTTCAAAACTCTCAAAAATTTCCGGATTATATTTTAATACAGTTATACATTAAAAAACTTACTAACTTCAAATAAATTACTACTTCTGGTTGCCTATTAGACTATGAGCTTCGAGCAAAGTTCATTTCCGGTTGCTTAGTTTTACCGGAAACGTTTTTCACTTTTGGAAGTTATAGTGACTGAAAACGTCATCACACACACAGAGACAGACAAACGTCAATACAAAAATAGTAAAAACTTCCTGTAAGGAACCTAATTTGAGCTCATTCTTTGAAAACTCCCTATCGAAATTTTGGACCGAAACGTTACTTTTTTATCATTGTGTACAGGTTGTCGAACGGTAAAAGTTGAATAAATTGTTTCTCCTGTATATAAATGGCAGAATAATTGAAGTTTTATCCTGTTTTCTTATAAAAAAGTTATTTTCAATAGTTTTTCCTTTCACCATAATTTAATAATTCTCTACAAACCTTTTTATACCTAATTTGTTGATTTTATGAATTAAATGAAAAGAGATTTTTCTTCGTAATTCAAAGCTCTGCATAATTATTCCAATTAAAACTTTTGAACATCTAACTGATCTAATACACAACATAAATATGTTTGCAGTTTCAGTGAAACATGAAAATATTTAAATTGCGAATAAAATAAGATCAGACATAAATATTTTAATATTTGTTTGTGCTATAATATATTTATGATCTTATCATTGCACGATTTAATTTATTAAATATTGTATTTCTTGCAGTTCATGAAGAAAAAGTAAAACTTTATTTAATTATGACTAAAACAAGGAAAAATATTACTAAATTACAATTTCATGTTCCCTAAAATTCCAGAAACACATAAATTGGCAGGTAGTTCTGTATATGCTCAGAGAAGTATATAAGTGATTGGATGATTTTCGAATAATATGCTTTCAGCCGGGTTTAATTATATATCAAATTAATTTAAGCAAAATTGTTTATTAAGCGGCAACTCGTTCCGTATACTTTCATAATAATTGTGATTTAATATTGTTTGTCGAGATTTATGCCTCGAATTTCCTTTCAAACAGAGAAAAGTGCTACTTTCAAACCGTCAAAACTTGGTTGCAATCCATGATCTTGGTTGCCATAACGACCATGCGATATCAGCGCTGTCGTGGTATGCTTGGGTGTAAAGCATGCACAGAGACCCTCCGATATTCACTAGACTTCAGAAGGGGTCTGTGAGTAGCAGAAGGACGGCTATCTCTCCATAACCGTAATTTGAATTTTTAAGTTCTGAGAGAGAAAACTTTTGTCTTGTGTTCATGTCCCATGAAGGATTTTTTGTGCTCTCTTCAGGTGTTGCGTCACTGACCAGGAAATTTTCGAATAACCGTTTTTAAGAATTCTCACTGAAAATACTTCAACAGGTTGTTTAGAGATATTGATGCTTTAGACTGTTATTTTGTTTTTATTTACGACTTTTAAAGTGTTAAAGCAGCCACTTTCATAAATGTCATTTATGTAAGTTGTAAACATCTATATTTGTAGAAAAATATGTAAAACTTAAATGATTACAATATTTTTCAGACTACATTATAAGATTTACTAACAAGAACTTCGAATTCGACGGAGGATATTATTCGTATAACTGTGAAAGTTGACGTTTCATACATAAATTATTTTTCTGATTGAAAAATCACTTTGACAAATATATTCAATTGAATAAAAATAAGGACTTCTGTACTTTACCATCATTCACTTAAAAACATCTGCAATTTTATCAGGAAAAACTGATTATTAACTTGCTGGAAACTTCAGAAAATTTATTTTCTTTCATCAGTAATGAACATTAATTTATACAGAAAGGAGGGTTGAAAAACTTTATAAAAGTTTTCCATTAAAATAATGACACCATCTTTCTTTGTAAGTTCTGAAAATATCATAACAAAATCCAAGGTCAACTGTATATTCTGAGTACATCGCTGTAAAATGAACCAAAGTATAACAACTCAATGTTCAAGTCTAATGAATTACTGAACAAAACTGAATCTGTACTGTACGCGTATAGTGTTGTTGCAACAGTTCTAAATACTATGGCAGATTGTGACCATAACTCCACTTCATACTTTAATGAATGTAACACTTCTTTCGCTTACCCAGGCTATGTTAACAGTACTTTCAATGAGAGTACAAATCATACTGGCCCTGTATATCTCGACCCATCGTACTATTCAATGAACTACAGAATTGTTGGTACTGTATTCCAAGGCATTGTCTTTATTGTCGGTGTGTTGGGAAACATCATGGTGGTCATTGTTGTGTGGCAAACAAGGAGCATGCACACACCCACTAATTGTTACCTGGTCAGCTTATCGATTGCCGATTTTATGGTGCTTATAGCATCAGTACCAATTGAGATATTGGGTTATTACTTATTAGGTAAGTAACACATTTTATGTCGATATCTTCTGCTATCGTATTCTTTAATCTTAAAATAATTTAAGAAACAATTCCCATTTAAAATTGATTTTAAATATAAGTTATGCGTTGGAGCTAAGAAACGTTGAAGAAGTGTATATGATATAATTACGAGGAGTTCAATGCACTGAATAAAATTGTCATTCGCTTATAAAAATTGAAAATGAGAGTTACTTTTATGCTAATGACGTCATTTTTATCTACGGTATTAAAATATAGGAATATGTGTCTGAGATTGAAAAGTCATATGTAATTTTCCTTTTTGTACTGTTTAACCCTCTCAGCGTTATGGCTGTAAAATTCCTGCAGTTTTTAACGTATCCGATTTCGGGTTGGATGTATATATATTTGAAGAAACGATATCAAGGTACAAGGTGAGAGAGTCTTTTATCATTTATAGACAAGAAAATAACATTTATTTATGACATTTTGACGAACTTCATAATTTCAGGGATAAAGCCGTATCGTTCGTAGTGTTAAAAAAGAACAAAAAGAGTGCAAAATTTTGATTCATTTTTCCTCGCAAAATTTTAGTTTAAGTATTTGCCAGTTGCCAGTTTCTCATATTTTGTCTCCGAATATAATTTCAGCCCAAATAACTGAATAAAATTTAGTAATTTTTATATTTGTGTATAATACTGCGAATTTTAAATGCTAAATCATTTTACATTTGTTATTAAAGTAATTTCATGTTTATTGTTGTTATTTAACATTTTATACCGGAACTTAAGTTGCCTAGATTTTAAAAGGTTTTACATTTTTCATTTCTTGATAAGTTATTATTATGAAATGAGCCGCCCAGACATTCCAGGCAAAATTCCAGACGGTATAGTAAATTCCAGACATTTCAGGCGGTATACTTGTATATAGTGATGAAGCTCCCCTCATCACTATACACAAGTATAGTGACGAGGGAAGCCTGGCTGCGGTACCGAAGGACCCGGATTCGAATTCCAGAGAAAGCATGGATGTAATTGTCTGTCCCTTCATAGGAGTCAAAGGTGGCCCACCTATTAGGTGCCTCCATAATAAAGAGACCACAACATCTGCCCTTGAGAGTGGCTAATGCGGGCATAGGCAAGTGCTGGCCATTGGGAAAAAAATATAATGAACTGAGGCTTTTTGAAATTATGCTTCTAAAAGCATCATTTCATAATAATAGCTTATTACGAAGAGAGGAAGAACTAATAGTATTAAAAAATTATTTACAACGAATGAATTTTACAAGATTATCCTAGGTAAAATTAGCTAATCTTGTGTGCTTTAAAAATATTGTAACTTCAAATTTCTTTCTTCCTATAAAATCTGATAGTTAGTTTGCTTAAAATGTTTTAAGATTCTTTAAACTGAAATCTATTATGAATGAAAAAATGGTAGTGGACAATATAAGAGTTGTTTTAACACTTTCAAGTATTCGAAGTTATTTCATTAATGCTTTTAAATTACGTTTTGTAATCGTTTTCAGTTCTTAAAATATAGCTTATTCATATAACGAAAAGAAAATAATAATCATAAATAGCATTCGTTTTACAAATTGATTCTCTAAAATGTTTAAATTGTAGAAAACGAAATATTCGGAAACAGTAAGTGTGAATACTTCAGTGTGCTAGTGCTTAGATGCCTAATTAATAAAAATAGCCTAATTCTTACCATATTACTTTAGCAGGTATTAATTGCCGTTTATTGCAAGGTGATTAGTTCAGTGAATTTAAAATTATATCTTTATGACTATTACATATTTATAATATTAAATATTACATATTTATAAAACTTTAAACACGCTACTGAATATCATGTACCGAGTATCTGAATTAAAACTGATATTTTTAAACAATACTGTAACTTTACATCTATATTTACTATTCTTTGAAATCTGCATAATGATTTAGTCACATCTAAGGAAAATTGATGAAGTTGTTAAGCATATTCATTTTGACGGCGTTCATCCTGTTCAAAAGAGGAAGATGACTCAGCCAACTTTGAAGCACCTGTCTGCATCTTGACCATCAATTTTTTCTGAAGTTTTTCGGACTAAAATTACAAATTCTGCTTTTCGAAATATTCTGAATTTAGGATCTAAATTTCTGAATTAAGATTAGTGAATTTTCTTTATTTTATTAATTTATTTTATTTTATTTTACTTACTTTTTTAGTAATTCGCATTTGCTGTGTTATTTTATAACTGTTTATTTGTTTTCATAGCGCTATAACTTACTTATTAGCCTCGTGGTATAACTTGTGGAGGAACACGAGGAGATGAAATAATTAGAGTTATATATGTATAACTTAAAAGAATGAAACTAATTAAACTATTTTTAAAAAATTGAAAGCGACAGTAATGTTTATTAGAGTTTGTCTATAACTACAAATCGAGCAGTTTAACTAGTCCATCGCATAGCATAAAGGACACTACGAATCTTTTAAGGGGATATTTATCTTACTATGTAAAATATTATCTACTGGAAAATTCATAGCTGAAAAATTTATTATCACTTATCTGAAGATCTCATTAGCCACCATCAAAATATAAATAAATAATAAAATGGTAGAAATCCATTCCTTTTGCCTTCTGAGTAAAGTTTAGAAGTATCGTCAGAAGAAAATACAATTCACTTGGAATAAGGTCATTCAAAATCGGAGTATTCAAACATTCCTTTCATGAATATATAATCATGTAAAACTTAATCTTATATCACTTTCTAGAAAAGAAATAATTACTTCATTTGTAATATAAAAGTGAAGATCTGAATTATACCTTAAGGAAAATTCAGTAGGTATTTATTTAATATTTATCCTAATAGTTAATGTTTTAGTTATATTTTCGTATTCATTTCTTCTGGTTCTAAACATTCATTCTGGACAGCATATGTAAATTACTTTGAACTAAAAGAACAGAAGCCAGAGAAAAAGATGGATCGATAATGTATTACCAAATTGTTCCTGAAGAATCTTTTAACCGTACCTTGCTGCTAACAAACTTTGAGTAAATATTATATACTGCTAATCTTTAAAATTGTTACACCACGAAGGAAAGTAATTACTAGGACCATATTTATTTAATTATAGTACCCAGCATTATAACAGAAGGTTAAAATTAGGGCTAAAGTTTTCTTTATTTCGTTGTAGTAAGGATATTATTATTGAAACTTATATTATAATGATGCTGACTTTAATGGGATTAGTTGAGAGTTTTCAGTACTTCTTTAATCCTATCATGATTTATTTCTTAAGTATTGTCAACGTGAAAGGACCTGTGAGTCAAAGAGGCACATGCTGCAATTAGAAAACGGTTTATTTTAGTGAAGCATTTTACAAAGAAGCCACCAGTTCATGACTAAGTGTAAAATTTTCATTGAAATACAACACAGCATAAAATATAGCAAAAAGAGATGAAAATTTGAAGGAAAATTCCTTAGTGAAAGATAGGATTAACGGAGCTGTTAATCATAGTAGAATACAAACTATGGTATGAAAAGATTGTGCTCACGACAACATTAATCTCACAGATATTTGCTGTTGCAGGTTTGAATTTTGATATTTTCTTTAATTTGCCATGGTAAAGTTTAGGTTACCTATTTTTTTTTTCAGCAAAAATTTGCTTCGAATTTTGCTCTTCGAATTTTTTGAAGCTCAGTAAATAAATTAATTAGATTTTTAATTTAAAATTATAATAATAATAATATATAATTAAAATATGATAACTTCAGATAGAATATCCGCATGTATTAAAATTTTGAATTGAAATAGTTTTTGTATGCTAAAATCAAAAGCTTAAACGGAATTTAAAGGAAATTTAAAATACTATAATGTTAGAAATTAAATAGGTACTTGGATAGAATATTATTAATAAATTGTTCAGTTTTGGTAAATATAAAAGTGGTGAACGACTGTTCATAATAAGCATTATTTACAATGTATTTAATATGTTATTCAATGGAACGGTATATTTTACGATAATATATCAGAAAGAAAGTAAGCAATTTTATTTCATGTAAATATCTTATGAAATTTATCTACTGCCAATAAAACTCCTAAAACGAAAACGTTGGAAATGCAAATATCTCTCCACCGTGTTACATCTTAAGAGCAAAATAATGCAAACATTTATTTACATAAACCTAGGATGAAATTCAAATAAATAAATATACATGTAATTAAGACACAATACGCCGAATAAATACTAATTCAGAAGTCAAACAACAAAAATCAGCGTTATGTTTACAAAATTTTCACAGGACTAGTTTCGATGGTTTTACCGAACCATCATCTTCAGCTGCAAAACCGCAAATGAACAAGATAGGAAATAATGATTAGATAAGATAAGAAAGCCTGGACAAGAATAAGCAAGTGGCGCCATCTGTTGACGAAACCAGAACTAAAACATAATTTTCTCTAAAAGCCGAAGGCAAATTTGGATTGGAATTAGGATCGTTAACTAGAACAGAAAGATTTTTATGAATGTGAAATGCCTCTAGAAAATCCAGTTCTCCAATGGAAGATGTTTTTTGAATAATTTTGGGAGCAGAAAAATTGAAAGTGTGATTTTCGGACCAACAACGTTGAGCAACAGAAGACTTCTGTGTTTCCTTTTTCTAACATATGCCTCATGTTCTTTGACGCGAAATTTTAAGGCTCTCTTAGTTTGGCCAATGTAAATTAAACCACACTGGCAAGGAATCCTATAAATACCCCAGGAATTCATATCCGGAATGGGGTCCTTGAGTATAGAAGTTGGAATTTTATTGATGGGAGAATAAACAACCCGAAAGTTAAATTTCTGCAAAATATGTGCAACTTTATAGCTAATTGATGGAAAGAAGGGAATGACAACAGAATTTTTATAATCTCCTAAAATAATCTCCTAAATAATTCCTTGCCAGTGTGGTTTAATTTACATTGGCCAAACTAAGAGAGCCTTAAAATTTCGCGTCAAAGAACATGAGGCATATGTTAGAAAAAAA